ATTTTTTGATGGAATTTTTGTTCTTTTCAACTAAAAATTTCATAAAAAATATGATCTTTATGGAAAGTACATAAATTACTTTGTGGGAAAATTTTATTTACAAAATATAATAATTATATTAAATTATTTATACATTGAATTAAATAAAATAATTTAAATATATTATTTAAGAGTATTGAATAATTATTTTTAGGAGTGATAATTAATTTCATTTAAGTTATGTGAATTTTTTTTTTGAACTGTTAAGTAATGCAATTTAATTTAGGACTGCTAATGAATTAAATGTAATTTGTGTTTGCTAATTATTTTAGTTTAAATCAATCTATATTAATTTAATTATTTTATGATATACATTAAACATGCTATGCTGCATGGCACGTTTGCCACATGTCACAAAAGTTGACTAAACATGCTATGCTACATAGCACGTTTGATGCCACGTAATCTCGCTGCAGTGCGCAGCGGCTTATGTGGCCATGCACCTTCTGTCACGTGTCCACATCTGACTCGCTAGGTGTTGTAGCGAGTTACGTGACGTGGCATTTTGAAAAAAAAAAATTACACAGCGTGGTATTCAAGTAATTTTTTGCAAAAAATGTGGCACTTTAGTCATTGTCCCTTGTAAGTGACGGTCTTCGATAGTTTTATATTACATCTCTTTAATAAAGGTTAAAACAAAAAAACTTTTATTACGTTATATTATTGTAGACTTTCCTTGGGATTTTGGAGGGGAGGGGAAGGGAAGGGATCCAAGGGGGAGGGATGGGAAGGAAATTGGAAGGTATTCCCTTCCCTTGTTTGGGAGTTAAAAAAATGGTTAAGAAGAAAGTGGAGGGTCAATAAGAAATTTTTATAATTTTAACCTTTTTCTAAAATTAATATAGTTATTATATTTCACTAATAAAATAAAATTTAAAATTGCTAAACAAAATTATTTATGTATTGTTCAGACTACAAAAAAAGATCATATTTTCAACAAAAATCCTACGTTGAAAACGACAAAAATTCTGTCAAAAAAATATTTTCCCATCGGAATACTTTTCATCGAAGACGATGGAATTTTTATCCGATGAAATATTTTACAAAAATAAAATTTCAGTCAAAATTTTCCACGGAATTTAGTTTTCGGCAAAAGTTTTGACGAAAATGATTTGTTAAATATTTTCGACAAAAAAAATTCTATCAAAAGTTTTAATGGAAACAATAATTCCTTCAGAAATTTTGACAAAAATTTTTCAGTCCAAAATCTTCGATGAAAATGTGTCTCAATGAAAATTTAAACGAAAATATTTTTCAAAAGTTTTGAGGGAAATGTTTATGTGAAACTTTAGACGGAAATTAGATGATGTAAAGAATTTTGACGGAATATTTTATTTTTTGAAATTTTTTACATAAATGTTTTTCGTCGAATTTTTTTACGAAAAAATTTCCGTTCAAATTTTTTGACGAAAATGTGTTCCATTGAAAATTTAGATAGAAATTTTTTTATCGAAAATAAATTTTTTCGAGAATTTTCTATAGAAATATTTTTCGTCAAAAATTTTGACGAAATTTTTTTTATTCAAAAAGTATGACGAAATTTGGATTCTGTTAAGATTTTTGACGAATTTTTTTTTGTACAAATTTTTACAGGAATATTTTCCGTCGAAACTTTTTAAGAAATCTTTTTAATGGAAATGTGTTTCATTAAAAATTTTGACAGAATATTTTTCTATCAAAATTTTTTACAGAAATGTGTTCCGTTAAAAATTTTGATGAAAATATTTTTTTATTGAAAAACTTGACGGAAATATTTTTCGTCAAAATTTTTGATCCAAATGTGTTTCGTTAAAAAATTTCGCTGCAAATGTGTTTCGTGAAAACTTGATAGGAATTTTTTTGTCAAAAAGTTTAACGAAAATATTTTCGTCAAAATTTTTCGACGGAATTTAAATTCTGTAAAGAATTTTGATGAAATTTTTTTCTGTCAAAAATTTTCGATGGAAATGTGTTTCTTTGAAAATTTTGATGAAAATATTTTTCGTGAAAAATTTCGATGAATATGTGTTTTTGTGAAAAATGTTGAGGGAAATGTTTTGTCGAAATTTAGATTCCGTAAGGAATTCTGACAAAAAAAAAATTTCGTCAAAATTTTTTACATAAATGTTTTTCGTCACAAATTTTGATGGAAATGTTTATCATAAAATATTTTGACGTAATTGTTTTACGTTGAAACTTTTCGAAGGAAATGTGTTTCTTCAAAATTTTGGACGAAAATATTTTTGTGGAAAGATTTGACGGAACTTAGATTATTTTGGTTTTTTTTTTTCGTAAAAATTTTATGTTAGTAATTATGCAAACTTTGTTCCGTCTCTAATATCGTCTTTAGTTTTGAGGGAAGTTTTTTGACGTATACGATTTTCATCAAATATTTCATCACTATTTTTGACGAAATATTTTTCGTCGATAAATTGTGTCAGTATTTGAGATTTTTCTAATAATGTCACATTTAAAAATGATTCACATTATGTAGTTTTTACATTTTAATGCTAAGGGTAGATAAGTAATTTTTAATATTTTCCACCTCAAACCCCGAAATTGGGTGAACTTAAATTTTAAGAAGAAGGAGAGTTTAGTAAAAACCCTCAATTCCTTCCCCTCATTATTTTTAACTCACAAACAAGGAAAGGGCTTCCTAAAACCCTCACTTCCCTTCTCCTCCCCTCCAAAAACCATCTCTGAAACAGAGCCTAACAGAGCCTTAGGCTCTGTTTGGGAGATGGTTTTTGGAGGGGAGGGGAAGGAAAATGAGGATTTTAGGAAGCCCTTCCCTCGTTTATGAGTTTAAAAAAAGGAGGGGAAGAGTTTGGGGGGTTTTTACTAAACCCTCCTTCTTAAAATTAAAGTTTCCCCAATTTGGAGGGTTTAAGGAGAAAAATATTAAAAATTACTTATCTACCCTTAGCATTAAAATGTTAAAACTACATAATTGTGAATCATTTTTAAACACGGTATTATTAGAAAAGTCTCAAATACCGACAGAATTTATGTCAAAAATAGTGATGAAATTTTTTACGAAAATCATATACGTCAAAAAATTTCCGTCAAAACTAAAGACAAAATTAGAGACGGAATCAGATTTTACCATAATCACTAACATAAATTTTGTACGTAAAAATAAAATCAGTCAAAATTATTGATAGAATCTAAATTGCGTCGAAGCTTTGAAGGCAAATATTTCCGTCCAAATTTTTGATGAAACACATTTTCATCGAAAAGTGTCGACGTAAAACAATTACGTCAAAATTTTTTACCAAAAATATTTCCATCAAAATTTTGACAAAAAATATTTTTGTAAAAAATTTTAACGAAATTTTTTTTTGTCAAAATTCTTTACGGAATCTAAATTTTGCCAAAATATTTCACAAAAAAACATATTCATCGAAATTTTTGACGAAAAATTTCAACGAAACACATTTCTATCGAAAATTGTTGACGAAAAAAAATTCCATCAAAATTTTTAACAGAATTTAAATTCCACCGAAAGTTTTCGACAGAAATATTTTCGTTAAACTTTTTGGCAAAAAAATGTCAAAATTTTTAACGAAACACATTTCCATCGAAAATTTTCGACGAAAAATATTTCCGTCAAGTTTTTGGATAAAAAACATTTCCATCAAAATTTTTAACGGAACGCATTTCTGTCAAAAAATTTCGACAAAAAATATTTCCGTAAAATTTTTTGACAAAAAAATTTGATGGAAAAATATTCTGTCAAAATTCTTTACAGAATCTAAATTTCATTGGAACATTTCCCTTAAAATTTCTAACAAAACAATTTCTGTCGAAATTTTCGCCAAAACACATTTCCATCAAAATTTTGAACGGAAAACGTTCCATCAAAATTTTTGACAGAATTCTTTTTTTGTTTAAAACATTTTATTGTTGTAAAAATTTTCATCAGTTGAAAAATTCTGCGGGAATGTGTTTTTGCGAAAAATGTTGAGGGAAATGTTTTGATGAAATTTAGATTCCGTAAAGAATTCTGACAAAAAAAAAATTTCGTCAAATTTTTTTACAGAAATGTTTTTAGTCACAAATTTTGATGGAAATGTTTATCATAAAATATTTGGACGTAATTTTTTTACGTCGAAACTTTTCGATGGAAATGTGTTTCTTCAAAATTTTGACGAAAATATTTTCGTGGAAAGATTTGACGGAATTTAGATTCTATCTATAATTTTGGGTGAATCTTTTTTCCGTAAAAATTTTATGTCAGTAATTATGGCAAAATTTGTCCCGTCTCTAATTTCGTCTTTAGTTTTGAGGGAAGTTTTTTGACGTAATGATTTTCATCAAAAATTTCGTCACTATTTTTGACGAAATATTTTTCATTGATAAATTCTGTCGGTATTTGAGATTTTTCTAATTATGTCACATTTAAAAATGATTCAAATTATGTAGTTTTTACATTTCAATGCGAAGGGTAGATAAGTAATTTTTAATATTTTTTCCCTCAAACCCCCCAAATTGGGGGAACTTAAATTTTAAGAAGAAGGAGGGTTTTGGAGGGTTGAGTAAAAACCCTCAATTCCTTCCCCTCATTTTTTTTAACTCACAAGCAAAGAAAGAGTTTCCTAAAACCATCGCTTCCCTTCCCCTCCAGAAACAATCTCCCAAACAGAGCCTAACGCAGCTTTGCTCCCATTTCTTTTCAGCGCATCCTTACTTGTTCTGTTTTGTTCCATTAATGAGAACATATCCAACATTTTAAATGTGAAGTTAATATTTATCCCTTGAACAACCCATCCATAGCTCCTCCAAGGTTCTACCCACCATTACTTCGGTATTATTACTCACATTAACTTGGAAGTCAATGTAAAATGGCTGTTACTTACATTGGCTGCACTTTCATGCTTTGCCGTATTACAAAAGCCTCAAAGGAAAAAAAACAAAACAAAAACAAAAATAGACATAAAAAAGGACATGCCATACAAAACAGCTTATAGGAAGAGCTCTCACTCTGTCTGGTGAACAATATAACAATTTGTATGATTTCCTCTTTCAAACCCCTTTAACTGGGGCTGATTTAGGACAGTATCAACCTTGGTAAGAATATCTACCCTCCAACAGGCAGCCATGTCTTTGATCCACACTATACCAAGGGGTAAAAAAGAGTGAAGATCGACATGACAGTTTCACATAGCAGATCAAAAGCCTTATTTATAAAATATATTTTTCCATTACAAATACTTAATGACAAAAGAATTACAAGCCCCATTTGATAAGTTTGTAATCCCCCCCCCCCCAGATTTTCGTCATTGTCGAGAAACTTTTTATTTGGGTTGGTTTTCAATCAGTGATCATCAGATTTTTCAAAACTGGAGTTGGACCTCACGGTATACTCGGCAACAAGTTGAGCAAAAGATGATGACCTATCCCCTAGCAATGTTGTTGGGGAGTCATACTCCTCAATGAGTCCTGCACCAATGTCCAAGGAAATCAGAAAAAGACACATCAAGGTACGAAAAAAATATCAAAGTATAATGAAGAATAACAGCCTTTCCCAACCTTGACTAAGAAGCAGAACCATATCACTGTCAAGAACAGAAGTAATTCGATGTGCAATGGTAATTACTGTAGAGTCAGAGAAATGTTGTCTAAGAGTTTGCTGAATCAAATTATCTGTAGCAGTATCAACTGATGCAGTGGCTTCATCAAGCACCAAAACCTTGCTTTTCTTAAGCAGCACCCTACCAAGGCAGACCAACTGCCTCTGACCCATACTCCAATTCTCACCGTTCTCACTAACTACATCATGACTTCCACATTAGCAATAAGTTCAGGAGTAGATGTAAAATACCATGATGTTCAATAAATTTAAAAGAGAAACCTGCTGAGTCAAGCTTTCCTTCTTTCTTTCTAACTTCATCTCCCAGTTGACACTTCTCCAGGGCCTATTAAAAAAAAGGTTGTAAATGAGTGAAGGCAATACCAATTTGAAGAACAATTACAAGCCTAATCTTTTGGACAGAACCAAGTGTCTGTGTATCTATTCAACAAATAAAGCCAACCCACCTGCCAAATTTGTTCATCAGTGTACTCTTCCAGGGGATCCAGATTATTTCTCACTGTCCCTTCAAACATGGTTGGATCCTGAGGAATAATACTTAATCTAGACCTCAAATCATGAAGTCCGATTGAGGAGATGTTGATGCTGTCTATCATAACTTGCCCAGCAGTAGGTTCAACAATTCGGAAAAGTGTTTGTATGAGAGTTGATTTACCGCTTCCTGTTCTCCCAACAATGCCAGTTTTCAATCCTCCACGAAACGTGCATGTAAGGCCACGCAAAACAAGCGGAAGATGTGGAGCATAACGAACCTTTATCACGGACAACAAATCATTACAAATGTAGCACAAATGTCATGTTAAAATTATGCTATGAAATATGTTGTATCCAAAGCACAATTTTTCTGTTCAGAAGCTAACTTCTAACTATTGAGCAAAAGAGAACCTTAGCATGAGTTTCATAAACCAATTGCCCTCAAAATGATAGAATACAAAACCATAAACATATAATTAAAATCCTGTATGGCGTCAAAAAAAAATAATAACTCCAGCTACCTGCAAGTCTTGTATATTAACCTCGCCGTATGACGGCCAAGAAGGATCTGGTCTAGTTTCTTCTACAACAAGGGGAGGTTCACTAGGAATGCTAGTATACTGAAGTATTCTTTCTACTGATATAATTTTGTTCTCCAAGTTGCAAAGATTCCATATCACCCAAGCTTGTATCATGTTTAAATTAAGTCCGTAGGTAACAGCTAAACCAGCAAGGCCTTCAAAAACCAGAAAATTAGACAAAAGGGAAACAAATATATTTAATACCTCATTACATAAGCAGAGTAAATTTTGATTGGTAACAGATACCAGATTTGAAGTACGTACCAGGATCTATGACTCCCTGTGGAATTGATATCAAGAATATCAAGGAAAAGACAAATGTTAAAGAAGACAACATATCTAAGCGGAAGCACAGCCATTCCATAGCACCAGCAATATTGAACTTCGGCCGAGAATACCCATCCGTCAGTTTCATATTTGTTTCCTGAAATCTTGACTGCTGATCAAAGCTTCTAATGGTTGACGTACCAGAAATTGTTTCGGCGAAGTGTTGAATGATTGGAGCTTTGCATACTCCAACTAAACGTGATAGTTCTCGGGCTGCTGGTAAATAATATTGCTGCAGAATATAAGTTCATAAGATGTTATCTATAGCCATATAATATTATATAATGGAATCATATTTGCAAAATTATTTTGGTACATAATCTTTGCAGGTATAGCCTTTGTCAACAAAGATGAGGGCAATACAAGAAGTACGTGCCACCTTATTATCAAAGGCTACATGGTCTGAATAATACCTGATACCAGATGCTGATTGCTATCACAGGTATAAAGACAATGAAAACCTGCCATGCAACCTGAGACATAACTGCTATAATTCCCAGAAGCTGGATCATGGAGAAGGCAAATGAAGCAATTTGGTAGGGTATGCCTGTATCCACTGCACTTTGGTCAGTAGAAGCCTGCAAGAGAAGAAGAAAGAAAAAAAAAAAAAGGAACAAAGTATTCTTTAGTTATTAAAAACAACTAACAAGATGAGGGGGTCTATTAAATCTAAACAATAAAACTATTTAAAATACAAAAATCATATCTCCAAAAGTCAGAAGGGCAAAAAATGGAGAGAATGGGGTATCACATACTCTGTTAAGGATTCGCCCACTTGGAGTGGAATCAAAAAATGACATTGGGGCACGGAAAATGCAGAAGTGCATTTTATTGAAGAGTAGAGTAGCTGTCTTATAACCAGCTGTGGCAAGAAGCATAGATCTGACAAGGATGCAGAAAGAACTTCCAATGGCCAAACCAACATAGACTGCTATAAGGGTCGTTCCTCCAACTGGTGGCTCAACATCTGATGAGATGGGAGTTGCCCAAGCCATCCAATAGTTGCTTCCAATTTGAAGAACTTGAAAAAGAATCTGAGCCAACAATATGATTGGCACAAGAGCTCCTCCATATGCAGTGGTGATATATTTCCAATAGACTGAAAACCCAACTTTACCTTTCTCTCTCTCTTCTTCTTGAACAAGCTGGCCTTTTGGTTCACCTTTGTCGTCACTTTTACCATTTTTCTCATCTTCTTTTGCTTCTTTTTCTTTAACATCATGAGTGCCAGAGACATTTACATCTTGTTCTAAGCTACTTATTTCATCAGATACTGTCCCTCCATCCAATGAATCAAGTGTAGACAAAGCTTTTTTGTGTGCACCAACAAGTTCCAGAAAATCAGTCCCAATGTTAAGCAGATCATTATACTTTCCACATTGAGTAATTTTCCCATCTTTCATTACCTAACAACAAGTTATAATATGAGGACAAAACAAAAATAAAAATAAATTTTTTTGAATTAATGACAATAAAATTCTGAGAAGTACTCACCAATATAAGGTCAGCAGCAGGTAAGAACTCTACTTGATGAGTGACATAAACCACTGTCTTTAAACTTAAAAGACCCAGTAAGCACTCCTGCCATACACAATTAAAGGTTCATACACTAATATAATTATACAAGTGTAATGCTGTTGAAAAAATAAATTTCAATAGTTAAATTGAGAATTATTAGTATTTTGTAGTATGCACAAAAAATATAATAGCCCAGTTTATATTGCATATAATAAACAACATAATGAAATTGAGTTACCTTAAAGAGGTGAGATCCTGTATGAGCATCCACAGCGCTAAAGGGATCATCAAATAGATATGTGTCGGCATCTTGGTAAAGAGCACGTGCAATTTGTATTCTTTGTTTCTGTCCACCACTCAAATTTATTCCACGCTCTCCTATAACTGTCTGATCACCAAATGACAAAATCTCCAGGTCCTTCTTCAGGGAACAGGCTTCAAGTACCTTTTCATACCTTTCCCTGTCCATGGGTTTACCAAACAATATATTATCCTCTATCTTGCCGCTTTGTATCCATGGTGATTGAGCAACATAGGCCTTTGTTCCACAAACCTTAAGGATGCCCGATACCTTTGGTACTTCTCCCAATACACAAGAAAGTAAAGTAGACTTGCCTGATCCAACAGTACCACAAACAGCAACCCTCATGCCATGAAAAACTCTAAGATTTATGTTTTGCAACGTTGAATTAGGGGAAGATAAATCCCAAGAGAATTTTCCATCAACTACTTCAATTGCTGTATCAGAACTATCCCGAGGAAGCTTCTCTACAACATCGGACTGCAAGTCATCAAGACGAATGAATGAGGCAATCCTATCAAGAGAAACCTTAGTTTGTGCTATCATTGAAATTGTATCAGGAAGATTATAAATGGGCTCTTGAAGAATCCGGAATGTTGCAAGTGCAGACAAGATCTTCCCTGATTCAAGTGGGATTCCTATAAGCATACAAGTACCAAATGTAACAACAGATACAAATGTGGGGGCACCCCAAAACACAAATGCGGTCATGGCTGAAGTATAAACATATTTTTTTAACCAGCCTTGCTCAGTTTTCCTGAGCTCAGTTATTTTAGATAGAAATTTCATTTCCCATCCTTGTAGTTTGAGGATCCTCATGTTCCTTAAAACCTCAGACGTGGCCTTCATTCTTTTATCCTTTGACTCCATCAGCTTGTCTTGAAACTTCTCTTGCAATGATCCTAAGGGAACATTTGCCAACATTACAATTACAGTTGCAACTAAAGCAGCAATTGAAGCTAGCCCAAGGTTTTTATATAAAATCAACAAGGCTAACGAAACTTGCAGAGCTACCATCCACAAATCATGCATGTACCAACTGAAGTCACCAACTCTTTCAGCATCAACAGTCATGAAATTGATTATTTCCCCAGAAGTGTGGCCCTGCTTTGATTGACATGAAAGGGTCAAGGCTTTATTATAGATCATTGTCACAAGCAGTGCTCGGATTCGAATTCCAACTTGCTGCAACCTAAAGAACCAATGCCTTTGCGACAGGCACTCCACGAGCTTTGCGAAGAAAAATGCAGAAACCAAAACATAGCCCTGATTTTCATAGAGCCGTCTTCCATCGAGGTATTGAACAAAAGCATCAATAAGATAAGGACCAACATAAGAAGCCAAGGTGTTTATCAATGCAAGAAAAGCTGTGAAAAGAATCTCCTTCCATGCTGAGATTAATAATGACTTCACCAGCTTGAGTGTGGTCACGTTGTTAATTGCACCACATTCAGCCTCAAGTCCATCTCTGAAAGTTGGAAAAGCTCCAACTACACTCTCTCTGCCGTCGAGTTGTGGGACATCCTCAAGGTCTAAGGTCTTCTTATTGCCAACAGCAATGAGAGGACCCACCCAAGAGAAGGTAAGAATGCTGAAAATTCCAGCATTTGAGAAAGGGGTAACAGTGTCACCCCCCTTGGTCTCTTTTGACCCCGAGGCATTACTAGCATTTGTATCACCATTCAAAAGAGGTTCTCGAAGACTGATATCTTCACCCTCATTTTTCACAAAATACCCCACGTAACAGAAGAACAAACCCGCACAAACAGATACCACATCAGAAACTATGAACTGAGCTGGTAAAGCGACATGTTTTTCATAGAGAAGAACTATGTCCACTACAAAGCAATAACAAGAAATAAAGAGGTAGAAAGCGCACCAAGCTCTGAAGATGAACGAAAATCTTCTTTCACCTGAACTGAAGAATCCCTTATGCAAGCAAACGTAAACAACAACCCAAGCAACTGTTTTGAGCGCTAAATCCAAAAGGGTCACGAGCTTTTCTTCCGACCAACCACTTCTATACCAATAGAAGTAATTAAAAAGGCAGAGGACAAGATTGAAAGCAAAAACACCCAGAGAACAAAACTTTGTTATCGTAAACAGGGTGTTCTTGGATTTCTCCTTAGACTCATCTCTAGCACCCACTGTTATTTTCTTCCAAACCCATAACACTAAAACCACCACTAGCAATAGTAGATGGAGGAAGCCAGATAAGCCATGAAGGAAAATGGGTTCGAGGAAAAAACCAGTGGCAGAGTGCATGAGAGAAAGGGATGAGAAAACAAATGACATAGGGTAGTTAAATGAATGATGAATCCGAAAAAATTTGCTCTTTTTGCGGAACTTCAATGAGGTTCTAGCAAAAGGGTGCGCTGCAAAAGTGTGGGATAGTGAGAAAGATAAAAAAATTTAAGGTTATAAAGAGTGAAAAGTTGTGTGCCAGATAAGTGAAGCTCAAAAGTGAAGAGAGAGAAAGAGAGAGTCAAAGGAAAAATGGGATTCCTTAGGTCTAGGGTAACGTGGTGGCCAAGGCTTAGTTTAGTTGACGGAGAAGACGGAGGAAGAAGATTGGAAATGAGACAAAAGGGTGACTATTTTATAGGAAAAAGGTGTGAGCTTGGAAGGTTTAGAGGAAAACTAAAAAGGAAACACACACTCTGGTGTGGGTATTGAAACTTGAAAGAGAAAACAATGAAATGAACTTCAAACTCAAATTTCTGATATCCAACAAAAGAGTTTTAAACTCTGATTTATTAGTTAATCAGGATTCAGGACTCAACAGACTGAATTGATACTCCGATTCTCGAAAAAATATTTGAAAAGTGAAACAGCAGACAGTGAAAACTGTGCTCAATCAATAATTCATTTACAATAATTTGATATTTGTATTTTTCTGCTTGTAATTGTCTCCTACAACTTTTATATTAATTATTTTGTTTCATATATTAAGTTTTAGGGTTATGTTTATCTCATTTTACACGAGATAAACAACTCTTCTACACACAAAAAAAGAGTTAGGTCCTATTTTTTTTTCTCTCTCCTCTTAGTTGTGAGTCTCATTTATAATTTTATTTTTACAACATGAGATAAGAATTTTCCTACAACATAAAAAAAGTATTTCCCTAAGTTTTAATTTTATGCGAATAAAAAATCATTAAATATTATTAAGTAATATACTTCCACATACACTTAATTAACTTTCTCCGTTTTATTAATATTATTTTTTTTTATCTATTAGAGATAAAAATAATATTATAGTATTTGTATTTTATCTATTAGAGATAAAAATAATTAATATCTTTTTATTTTTTTTAAATATTTTAAAGTAATGATATTGTTTAAAAAAGATTAGTTATTTACATCGTTCCGTTTAAACTAATTAAAATACAATATTTGTATTTAAAATTGAATTAATTAAAAACATAGCAACTGAATCAAGTTTTATCAGTCTATTATCAAGTTTTATCAACTGCATTTAAACAACAACCTATTTTAAATTCTTATAATATATATTTTTTTGCATGTAATGTGAGTCGCATTTTCTATTATATGAGTTAGATAGTCAAAGGGAAAAAAGTAATGAAAATAACGTGCAGAGATAAAAAAAAATGAAAAAGTGTTTGTTATTTTAAATGACATAAAATTATGTCATTTTAAAAGAGAGAGATATAAAATAATATTTTTTATTTAAATTTTAAATTAAAAAAACCACTCACTTTCTCTCCCATAATTTTTATTTTTGTGTCTATTTTTCTCCTAAAATGACATAATTTATATCATTTAAAATGATAAATATCAAATTCATAAAGAATTATTACGGACAGTAGAAAAAAGGGCGAGGAATAAAAATTACAAACTTACGGAAATAAAATTATCAAATTCATATTACAGGTTATAGATTTATAATAAAAAAAGGTTACGAGGTTATTAGTAAAAGTTACAGACTTGTAATTATTTGGTATAAATTAAAGTTATTAAAAAAATTACACAATCAATAATATTTTCGTAAAGAATCATAAAGTTGAGGGGCAGAGAAAGTGTAGTGAACCTTCGATCTGACATTAAATATAATGTTCAATGCCATGTCTTTACGGATAAAAAAAAGTTAAAAAGATCATACATATTTCATGAAATTACATGTTCTCATAAATGTTATCAGGATATTAGTCTCCATGGTCACGGACGACCTGAAAGGCTACATTGGTTGTGCACTTTTCTAATTCAATTTCCTATAAACGTAGTCTTGCTTTATATTATATAGTCTAATCTAATTTAGAATTATGACTTTCTTTTCTTTTCTCATCCTTCTTAGAAAAGTCACTTCTTTTGATAGGAAATTTCCTTTGATATTGATAAAAATTATGTCAAAATCTATATCTTTTATGAAATTTTCGACGGACTCCACTTCGTTTCATTCATAGTCATTGAAATTCTTTTTTCCATGGAAATTAGTTTTTGTCGAAAATTAAATTTAAAAAAATTCTGTCAAAAATATTTATTTTTTGTCGAAGAATTGCTATTGATCATTAATGATTTATTAAACAAATTCATCAAAAAATTTAATGAAATCACCGTATATGTCCGTTGAAAATTACTCTCAAAAGTTTTGATGAATACGTAACGGTCGAATTACATTCCATCGTAACTCCGTTGAAAATGAGGTTATATTTTTTAACAAAAATTTATGGATTTGTCATTTTAAATAACACAATTTTGTGTCATTTTTAATGAAACTAAATCGTTTTGATATTTTTTACATTCTCTTTCCACTTTCTTTTTCGGGAAAAAATATACTTACCACCAAAAAAAATTATAACTTTTACAACTAACTTAATCACCGTTGATTTCCGTCAATCTAACGGTTATAATTTATGGAAATTAATAATTAATTAATAAATACGACCCAATAATTTTCAATAAATTATAACCGTTAGATTGACGGAAATCAACGATGATTAGATTGGTTGTAAAGGTTGTCAATTTTTTTTTGTGGTAAGTATATACTTCCCCTTCTTTTTCTTCCTAATTTTATACAAAAGGAAAATGTAACAAAAATATATACAAAATAAACACACACCAAAACAACGTAATTTTATTAAAAATAATACAAAATTGTGTCGTTTAAAATGACAAATATTTTTCTCAAATTTTATAAACAATTCCATCCGAAACTATTGTCACAAGTTTCGACGGAATTTAGATTAACATTCTGTTGTAGTTTCTGACTAGTTGTTATTTTTTAGGGAATTGCTGGTCTGTGGAAAATATTGACAATTTTTTTAATAAATAATTTAGTTTTACCTGAGAAATTCTACAAATGTAATGATAAGTACATGATAAACAAACATACAATCCAAAATATCATCATACATAATAAAAACAGTACAATGTACACAGGTCCATATCATATATACAAATTAATTAAAATGTGAAAGGTAGGATATATGTCTATCAATGAAATATACACAAGTTCAAATCAAATACAAAATTCATTTGTCTTGTTGATCACTGTGAACATCATGATCATCATCAATTGGTTCATCTTCAATGTTAAAGTCTTGGAATAGGGGTTGAGTTTGGTATCCTGGATATCTAGATAGCTCGGTCATACAACAATGTTAAATAAACATCTCTATAAATAAAGGGTTAAACATCAAAGTACTTATTATTATGAAACCCTAACAACAAATGTATAAAGGGTTAATCACAATTTCGGATCAAACATCAAATGTATAAAATTATACCATTTATAATGTTGTCAATTCAAGATACATCAAATTAACGTAGTGCAACAGTAACTATATCATAAAAAATATTCTATTATTCGGTTGTATAACTTTTGGTTTGGAAAGCATGAACAAGAATTGGCATTTTCAATAGGAGACACCACATTATCCCCTCGGTGCATGCAATGGGTGAGTTTTATGAGGCCTTGAGGCTTTTGTTGTGTGGGGTTGGTTTGGTTATTGTTTTTTTCCTTCTTTTCCTCACTATACGAGAAACAGACGGGGATGACCAATTAGTCTAAAGTGTGCGTGGAAAATTGTGTCAGGAACGAAAATTACTACTGACGACTATATTTGTCTATTTAGAAATTTTGGACAAAAGGCAGAGAGAGATTTGCATCGAAATTTAATAACGAAAGGATATTTTCGGCCTATATTCAATTTGATAGAATACCATATTTGTCAATTTGGAATTTCTAGGGAAAAGGCGGAGAGAGATTTAATAATGAAAGGATATTTTCAATGAATATGCAATTAAGGGTGATAACTGGTCCATGAAGTAAATTAATGTTAAAATTATACTCTACGTGTTAACATGGTTATTTAGGTTAAAACATAATATTGTAAAGTGTTTTTATTTTTGTTATTGCATATCTCCCTTAATATCCCTCAAGAGTTGTTATTGCATATCTCCCTTAATTTGTTGGACTCCTCCGATCCTATGGGACGTTTGGTAGAGAAAAAAAAAATTATCAAAAAAATACAATTACTAAAGAAATGGTGAGGATGTGAGTTTTCTAAGAAAGTTAAAAAAAAATTATTTGGTAGGCCGAAATATTACTGGAGAAATTGATTTGAATTTTCTGAGTCTATGTTTGGTTGAAGGTAAAATATTACTGAAAAAATAAGTTAAAATTATAAATATAACCCCATATTTGGTAAGAGTTTAATACGCTCTATCGAAGGAAATGAGAACTATACCAATGGCTTCCAGTGTAACCGACTCGGATCTGCAAAAATGCTTGATATCCCAGTTAATTGCATATATTTTCCTTCGTTCAGAGCTAACTTGAGAGGAGTTCTACTTGAATTTAACATCTTGAAGCTCAATTTTAGAAAGAAGAAAGACAGGGCCAAGTGTCAAACATCAAGCTATGAATCTCCTGTTTTCGACGAGTGCAAGAAGACCAGAAGCAGTGTTGCAGCGTTAGGTTACTCAAGGCTAGGGTTGTGCATGGGTAACGACGCAACTTGGTTTTTATAGGTTAGGTATTTTGACCCGACCCGCTTTAATTTGATCCAAGTCAGGTTTGATTTAGTTTGAATTTTTTTGAACTAGTTCAGAACCGGGTCGGATCTGACCTGACTTAGTTTCTAAAGTGGGTCTGACTTGGTTTCTGAGGTAGGTCAAATCTGACCTGACCTGTTTTTGACTTGGTTTCGTCACAAAATTTCGTCGAAATTTTTACGTTGCAAACGACGAAAATTTCGACACAAAATTATTTTTTCGTCGGAATACTTTTTGTCGAAAAGTGACGGAATTTTTTCTCTAATGAAAATTTTTACAAAAATAAATTTTCTATCGAAATTTAGTTTCCGTCGAAAGTTTTAACGAAAATGATTTCCTCCATCAAATGTTTTAAACGAAAAAAGAATTCCATCAAAAATTTTGACGGAATATTTTTCGTTCAAAATTTCGATGGGAATGTGTTCTGACGAAAATTTTGACCGAAATTGTTTTGAGGGAAATGTTTCATTCGAAACTTTCGACGAAATTTAGATTCTCCAAAGAATTTTGACAGAATTTTTTTCCGTCAAAATTTTTATCGAAATATTTTTTGTTAAAATTTTTTGACAGAAATGTATTCCATTGAAAATTTTGATGGAATTATTTTTTATCAAAAAATTTGACAAAAACATTTAGTCGGAAATTTTCGATGGAAACGTGTTCGCTAAAAATTTCGACGAAACTTTTTTTTTGACAAAAAGTTTAATAAAAATGTTTCCGTCAAAAACTTTCGCCCAAATTTGAATTCTGTAAAAATTTTGATGAACTTTTTTTCGTCAAAAAATTTCGATGGAAATGTGTTTCGTCGAAATTTTTGATGAATATGTTTTTTTGTAAAATATTTTGACGAAATTTAGATTCCGTAAAAAAATTTGATAAAATAATTTTTCCATCAATTTTTTTTACATAAATGTTTTTAGTCACAAATTTAGATGAAAATATTTTTCGTCAAAAAAATTTGCGAAAAATTTTGATAGAAATGTTTTCCATAAAAAATTTTGACATAATTGTTTTACGTTAAAAATTTTCTTTTAATGTAATTGTGATTTTCTTTTTCTTTTTGTTTTCACATAATGGGTGTGGTCAAGTTTTGGGTCAATGAGTCATTATTAAAACAAGTCAGGTCTAAAACTGACCCAAATAAAAGTGAGTCAGTATTTAAACCAGTTCAAAAAAAAGGTATTTATGGATCAGGTCAGGGTCAGGTCAAAGGTAGAGCAAGTGAACCAGTTTTTTTACACACCAGCCTATTTTTGACACAAAATTTACATCTACTTTTCATTTACCTAGGGAAGTCACTATACCACCTTCTCCGTGGCATTTTTGTTTCAAATTTTGGTCCAAGATTACACATGAAATCGAATCTTAGTTATCTAATTATCCCAGAATTTTTTTTTAAAAAGGCTATTAAACATGGTATTTTGGAATACCCATTCTCACTTTATCAGACATCCCAAATAGAATCTTCCTACCAAACACTCTCTATGAGTATTTTTTCTTTTTCCTTTTTTTATTTTTGTTACTTCAGAGCTCCACATAAACCATCAACATTTAGTTACATCATACCCAAATATTTTTTATTTAAATATTATACCTAAACCTTAATCACGTTAATCAACATGAATTGAAGTACAAGGCTTTTGGCAAAACAAATTTTGTGACTTTATCAAGCCTGTGATGGTGTAGGGACAACTCAGTTGGAATATCACTCCTTTGTTGACCTAGTAATTTTGATTCAAATTCAACGGGCCTCACTTAGCATTTTGATTTACATAACATTTTCGTTCACACATATTGATAAGGATGTTTTCGGCTTCCAACAGCCACACGACCAAAACGGTGGTCCAAAATCCAACCATTTGCTTGATGACCACGTCTAGGCAATTTGTCATTTAGGCTGTATTTTAATATAATTTTTAATTGACTGAAAGAATGTATCCATTTAGAATAAAATAATTAAAGCCAAATACCAATTTGTCATTAGATTTGTTTAATCTCATTGTCCAAACTCCGAAAGCAACCGCATAAAGCAGTTCAAATTACAAATTAGTAAATTACACTGTAAATTGGACTCTGGTTTATTGTGATTTGTGAGAATGGAAAGCTCATACACTGTCGAGTGATGAGTTCCATATTGCTACTTAAACTTGTTGATAAAGCCATTGTTGGGTTGGGATTGCATTCTTACATTTCTTGTAAATTATTTGATACTTTTTGTGGCCGTCTAAAGATGAGAAAGAGAGTAGTGTGAGTTGAAATATTAATTGGCCATTTAATATTGTGGGCCGGTGGATCAACCCACCTAAATAAAAAAAAAAACATAAAATAGAATTAAATATATGAAAATACTTAATTACAGAAATATATATATACAAACAATATTAAAAGTCGAGATTATAATTTATGGGACAAAAGGTGTAGCTATTATATGAGACAAAACACATATTTATAATACATGAAATAGAAATATCCATAAATTGGCTATCATTTGAGAATGACCTCATCTACTCCTTACAGGCTACGAAGATATTAAACATGTGTAAAAGATATCACTTCATCTTAATAGTAAAGTCTTACGTCTCTAATAAAAAATACAGTTCTCATTTTAATCTCTTATAAAAAAAAAATTAGTTGCCTAGTCTCTATGAAATTCAAAGTGGACCAATTTTAGTCTTTATAAGGGACTAATGTGGGTCTTTTTTGAATTTATGAGGGATTACAGTTTCAACTAAATGAGTCCACTTTGAATTTCTTAAGGATCTCGAGACTATTTTTTTTTATAAAGGACTAAAGTGGAGATTGTATTTTTTTATTAAGAATCCAAAAGAGGCTTTACTCTCATCTTAATTTGGGGCTTTTTGACCCTTTTGCCCTTTATTAAATAATTAATAATCATTTTGCTCCTTACCCAGAACTATCTACCAATCAGCCCTTCTTTAATCGATTAACTTGAAGATTTAATCAATTAAATGGTTAAAATAGGCAAAAATGGTTGACTTGAAGATTTAATCGATTAAATCTTCAAGTTAATCGATTAAATCTTCATATCAACTTGTCACAAAAACCAAACATTCCTTTTAGACTTCCAGAAGCAGATTTGCAACAACTGGTCACAAAAACCAAACATTCCTTTTAGAATTCGATGATTTCCAGGAGTATCATTGCTTTTCTTCCTTCTTCCCCTATAAATAGTGAATTTGAATTAATGTTTGATCTAATAAACGAACCTTCACTACAGGTTTCCTCCAACTGCTGCTACTGTTAGTTCATCGCTTCTCTTGGGTATATGTGGCCTTCCAGACACCATTTTTAGGGTCATCCCTTTCATCTTTCAAAACCTAATATGTATTTTTTGTCTGGTTCTAAGTGATTCAGTGAGTGAGTTACATCATTTTTTTTCTTTTTTTTGTAGAATGCTGTGGAAATGGCTTTGGGTGATTCTAAGTGTTATCGGCTTGAAAATCCTAACGCAAGATTGTCGTGTTTCTTTAACAAGGTATTTCTTTTTGCTCATGGTTCATTACATTACATCCAAACAAAACCAATTGATCATGGAAGACTAACTCGAAGCTGAGAATCCCTGTCTTTTTTTCTTTTTTTGGTAATTGTTAAAGCAGCATATAGAAATCATTTAAGTGGAATATGCTCTTGCATTTTTGTTGTAAATCTGCTTCTGGAAGTCTAAAAGGAATGTTTGATTTTTGTGACAATTTGATATGAAGATTTAATCGATTAACTTGAAGATTTAATCGATTAAATCTTCAAGTCAACCATTTTTGTCTATTTTGACCATTTAATCGATTAAATCGTCAAGTTAATCGATTAAAGAGGGGTAGATTGGTAGATAGTTCTGGGTAAAGGGTAAAATGATTATTAATTATTTAATGAAGGGCAAAAGGGTCAAAAAGTCCTTAATTTTGTCACTAAATGTATTATGAAGCTAATATATAATTATAATCATTTTTATAACTCAATTTTGACATTTCAAAATTTAAATATTCTTGTTGACCTTGTATTTGAGTAATATAACTAAAATAGTGATGTAATGACCCAAAAAGTTAAAAAATAAATAAATGAAACATAAAATTGCCACCAATTTTATTTGATTTAGAAAAAATTGGGAATTTTTTTTAAGCAAATTGATCTTCAATTTTTTTTTTTTTGAGTTTCCTTAAGGTATCCCTCAGCCGACAGTCAAAGTTTAATCCTATCGAAGCATAGAGATCACCAAAGTGGATTTTGCCTCTACCAACAAAACATTTTTCATATGCACGGCCAGGAATCGAACCACTGTCAATATGTTTAAGAGACCTAGCTATCTACCAACAGTACCAGGCTTTGTTGGTTGATCTTCAAAATTTTAAGTCATAGTTCGGGAATCTATTATACATAGGGAATGGCGAAAGCTCACACCCATGATACATTCATTTAAAATAATTATCTTAATTCATTGTGCATATTAGTGTTTAAAAACTAAGTTCGGCCATCGACTCGGCCGAGATCAGGGGTAACAAGTTCAATCGGGAAGTCACGGGGTCAATTCGTTGACCCGATTTTATACATTAAGAAAATATAAATATATATCCTATATTAAAAATTCAAAATATTCAAATCACCAATCATCAAAGATTCAAAATATACTTAACATAATTCAACCAATTACATCCACAAGTCAATACTACACAAGCTAATTAAAGTATCAAACTATCAAAGTATAAAACACATATTCCAGTGGAGTTAATGAAAAGTTATATCGTTAAACCCAAGCCCTCCTTGTTATTCTCACACACCTATAACAGCATGTGAAAGGAGATCTATTACCTAAAAGAAAACGCCGGAGGAGAGGCGGTAACACGACGAATCAACTGTGGGGAGAGAAGCACCAGCAAGGCAGATGACAGGGGGAAAGAAGACCCAAGAGGATAGGAGGAACCACCATCATAGTGGAGGGGATCACCGGATCAGGGAGATTGAGTCTGGGTCTAGGTCTGAGAGAGAAAATTAGAAGAGAAGAAGAAGAACGATTCAGATTTCAGCTCTAGTTCTAGATCTTGGCAGCAACAAGTTTTTTTACACACCAAACGAAGTCCTTTCGTGTGAATTTTTTTTTAAAAAAAATGCAGTGACATCCTCTGACTTAGGAGTCACGGGTTCAACCGGGGGATTTCGGGGGTCAGAGCGATCAACGTGTATTCAGGGTCTAACTGATGACCCCAACTCTCAGAGAGAGGGGCCAGTGATATGGCGGGGTCTAGGGGTGCTAAACAAACCAGGGACATTTGGCTCGGCTCGTGAAGACCTGAGCTTACATGTCTAAAATTGGTTATTGGCACCAGGCTTGGCCTTGTATAAAAGCTCGTTTAATAAAAAGGCCTCAAGCTCCAATTCAAAAGCTCGGCCTTAAAGTCTCTTAGGCTGGCATAGTATATTATTTTTTATATTTTTTATACTACTTGTAATAGCCTTCTCTTTCTCCTCAATCCATTTCATCTTATTTTATTGGTTAAACAGACTTTTTGAATGATTTTGTTCTATATTATGTTGTTTGGATATAAATTGAATTTATGAATATTTATAGAATTACTAAGGTTGTTGATTGTATATTCTGTTTGGATAAATTTTTGTTGTCTTATTTTTTTTAAACAGGCCAAACAAGGTTTTTATTTTTTGTAAATAAGTCAGACCACAGGCCGATAGTTATATTTATAACAGGTAAAGGGTAACAAGATTGATTGGTCAGGCTGACACATTTAAATACAGGTTTAGCCTTTTAAGACCAAAGCTCGGCTCGACTCGTTAACATCCCTAGCGAGGTCGACCCAGGATGGGGCAGGATTTTAAAACACTGGTGCATGTTATTAGTAAATTTAAAATATTTGTTTATCACAAATAAAATGAAATGAATAAAAAGATTTTTTAAAAGAAAAAAACTAAATTATAAATTTTTTACTTTTTCTTAACAGAAATGATTCAGCTCCGATATATTATCTGGTGGAACGAGGAAAGCAGTGTTATTCCTAAAACATTTATTAGTTAGTTAAATCAATTTTTTTTAAAAATATAATTTTATCTCAAAGGAGTCATTATATTTGAACACTTTAGATAACAAAATTGTAGCAAATCATGGAATTAGCAAGCGTCATAGCTAAGTCATTTGTTCATAATAAAAAAATTAATTTTTTTATGTTTTAATTGCTATTTTTTTGATAAATTTAAATAAATTTTAGATCATCAACCTTTTATAGTTAACATGACCCTAAACAAAATATATGAGGTTAATATGCCGTTAAAGCCCAATCACCAATTCACCACTTTTAATAATTTTTTTTAATATTTAGATTATTATTATTTTCAATTAATAAAAAGTTATAATAAGAGAATGGTAAAATTTAAATTACTTGCCGTCACCAAATTATTACAACTAAAATGACCCTAAATAAATTTACGGATTTACCAAGTTATTTGAACTCACTTCACCTTATTTTATTGTTAAGAAATAAAAGACATTTTAAACTTTTTCTAAAATGGAACAAAATGAGTAACCAAAAATAATATTCTAATAATATCATTAAGCAAATGTGCTAATAACAATAAAAGAATGAATAATTAAATGTAGAAACATGATCAACTAAAAATGACAATAATAATAAGAATAAGATATACGTTATGAATAATGAGAACAATAGTAAGGGACAAAGCAGGGGTGTTAAAATGGGTCGACACGATATGAATACACACAACACGAACACGACACTATTTTTTATTTGTGTCAGAATCTTCAACACACATATAATACGAATTTTTGCGAGTTGATATGATATGACACGCAAATTATGGGTCAAAACGATAATTGACCAAAAAATTTTAAAAAAAAGGGTCAAAATTAAATTTTTTTAAGACAAATTAAAAAATATAGGTCAAATTCGTGTTGACACGCGATGTGACAAATTTTTTGTGTGTCAATTTTCCCAACACGAATTTTTTGCGAGTCAACCCGAACACAAATTCGTGGTGTCCTACGGGTTGACCCACATGGCATAACCTTTTTTGACACCCCTAAGACTAAGGTTGAGAAAAAAAAATTATTTTTTTTTCAAATTGGCACAAAATCAACCATTTAAAATAACAATAATGATAACACAATAAATGAATATGAAAATTATATGAACAAAAATTATATGGGTAAAAAAACTATGGAGATGATTTTATGTGGTTATGTGGAAAGATCACAACCATACAAAGGTGAATCAACAGTTATGATTTTATAATACCTATTTCAATTTTTTTCTTTCTTCCTTTATTACCATTGATCCAACCTTTGTATGTTTATAATTTTCCACATGACCATGTCATGTTTGTTTTCACACGAGAGAGGATCCAGAGATCCAAAATCTATAAACCCAACAATCATTTACTAAGAGTCTGTTTGGATGACCTAAAAAAAGTATTTTTTATGCCTTACTTATTTTAGAAATGCTTTTAACAAAAGTTAAAGTTGTTTAGATTTTTCAAAAAATATTTTTTTTATAAAAATATTTGGCTTTTGACTTCTATTCTCTTTAGAAGCTAAATTTTTAGCTTAAAAAAAAGTAGATTTTTTATTTTTTTATGATTTTTACTTTTTTTAAAAACTCCTATCCAAACAAATTTTTATAAGAAGTGCTTTTTTTCCTTAAAAAAAATTACTTTTCGAGAAAAAAAATTCATCCAAACAGGTCCTAAAAGACCGAGAAAGGATTCCTTTTTCTATTTAAGGAGCATGGGTCGCCAATTAATGCATGTACCATGTAAAAAATAAATTAAATAGCAATAAGTGGTTAATAATGAAAAATAATAAGGACAGAGAAGATAAAAAAAAGAAGAGATACCTCACTTTTTTTTAAATATTTCAATTAGTTCATCATTTCACATTTAGTTCCATATCTGGCGGGTCCAGAAATAAGATTTTAAACCCCTCCAAAGACGATATAAAGAGGATCGAATACATAAACTCACCTCCATCTATCCAATTCTCGACTTCAACTAAGCTACCATCATCCCGCAGAGATACGTCACTTTGATGTTGCCAAGAATAGGATGAAATGGGAGCTTTGTTTTTTTTTTTTCATAATGCAGCCGAATGAGAGAAAAAGGAAGGATGGAGGTTTGCGTCCTTGCTTTTCATTTTCTCATTTCTTGTGTTTCTTTACCTTAAGCTTTGCACAACAGAGCACCATCTTGTACATTCAATTCAGCTTCAGCCCCGCCCAACAATGAGTTTCAGCTATCCAAACATGTCGGGCAATGAAACCCAATACTTAGTTAGCTATCTTGCAGAATAATGGTTACACCCATTTCCAATACCAGCACATGTTCAATGGGTCTTTCTATTCTTCTCAATCACATCATAATAACAGTATTTCTAGTGGGTCCTCTTCTTCGTCTTCCTAAAAGCATGCACAGAATCAACAACAGCAACCTAGCTAATATAATACTACAGTTGCCACAGCAGCAACAACCTAGTCCAAAGTCCAATCGCAACATAATCATTCAATTATGCTGAGGATATCATGCATGCATATCACAAGCTGGTAGTGCTCGGCTCAAGTGCCTCTTTGATCCTTTTAAAACTCCTTTTTTTTTAAGATAGAAGTTATTTATAAGCAAAAGTTAGGGTAGATAGGTTTTGATAAAAGCTCTTATAATGAAGAAAAAAACTAAAAGCCAAAATTTTAAGTAGGAGTTTTTTTAAGCTCTTATCAGATTTTTTTGAATTGTGTGCTTTCTTTTGAAATAAAAAGCTATAGAGATAGAGAGTTTTCTTGAAATATGTGATTTTAAATAACTTTTAAGCTAAAAATTTTAAGTAATCACCGAATGTAGGCTACGTCCAGCTTTTCTATATTATATTCATCTCACCATCACTTGTTACAAGTCACTCGTTTACAAGGAGAATATAAATAAGATTAGAAAATCCTAACAACAGCTATTCATGGGCCCAAACCCAAACTACTAAGCAAAAGAAAAAATATAATAGATCAGAGGCCCACAACAATACCTAGCATCTACAGGCCTGGGGATGCTGCCCCTCAGACCCCCACCCACTCACTTGGGAACGAGACCTCGACTGCCTTTCTGTTGACACCCCCCCCCACCTGCCCACAGCTTCACCACATAAGTTTCGAACTTCATGTACCACATCCTGAGGGACTACTTTAGGTCATACAAAGATTTATTCACCTTGCAGACTAGCTCCTGAAGAGCCCCAAACTGTGGAGTTAGACGTGGGTTTGAAAGATAATGCAGTAAACTCACAGGTTGGAGTGGAAAGTTTAAATTCTGAAGCTGCTGAATCTAATGAGGATGAAGATGAAGATTCTGAAACTGAGTCTGAAGTTGAAGCACTAATGCTAAGAAGGTCCACAAGGGAAAGAAGACCATATGAGAGGTATACACATGAAAACTATATTCTCTGTGCTAGTGATAATAGTTGTGCCCTGAATATTACAGGTGATGATCCAATCACTGTAAGACAAGCTAGGAACTCGAAAGATGCCAAATAGTGAGAAGAAGCCATAAAAGATGAGATGAAGTCTCTGATGAAAAATCAAACTTGGAGTTTAGAGAAACTACCTTCAGACCAAAAGGCGATTGGTTGCAAGTGAGTGTTCAAGAAAAATGTTGGTGCCAATGGGGAGATTGAGCATTACAAGGCTCAGTTGGTTGCAAAAGGGATATTCACAGACAGAAGGGGTTGATTATGGTGAAATATTTTCACCTGTTGCAAAATTAAATTTCATAAGGCTGATTTTGTATGTAGCAGCTGCATATGACCTAGAGGAGGAGCAGCTAGATGTGAAGACGACTTTCCTTCATGGTGATTTGGAGGAGGTTATTTACATGAAGCAACCAGAGGGGTTCATAGTAACGAGTGGTGGTGAGGTGAATATAGTACAGACAAGCTGGATGTAGCCTACATTGGATGAATTAGGGTACATCGCTGTGTCAAAATTCTTTCTTCTCTTTTATTTTTCGATTTGTGTGTGATTGTCGATTTCCAATATTTTATTTCCAACACATAGTACGAAGCATTGCTCATTACTCATGCATATATACATAATGACATTATCTCATAAATGCCACAATCACTTTAAATGCAAGAATAAACCATGATTCCCTTGAATCATGGTGGAACATTATTAGGGTGAAGCCATTAAAAATCCTAAAAATTACTTTATATATGATTTCCCCAAACTTAAGACTCCAAATGAAAGTTTTCCTCTCTAATCAATCTGAGAAATCAATTGTCATATCCCTTGCCATTTGGACTTGAGCGTGGAGAAAACTGAAGCTATAGTCTTGCTGCTTCAATATATGTTACTTTACCAATGCTAATAAAAAAAAATATTGCAGTAACAATGCAGTCTTTGCCAAAATCAAAGCTTACGAAAATATATTTATTTTGGTGGTGAATACTCCATATACTCAATATTAAACTTTAACTCATTTATGTTCTTATCAAGA